ATGCTATGTGCAGGTCTAAAATCTCATGCCGTGACATTATATGAAGCAGGAAAACTTGGTCATGCTAGCATTGTGGATCTTTGCAAAGATTTGAGTACATTAGAGGGTGCAAAGTTTGAAGGAGAACTTCAGGAATTTGCCAATCATGCATTCAGCCTACGTTGTGTCCTGGAATGTCTGACCTCTGGTGGGGTTATTTCTGATGAAAGAGACAAAATTGACATGTCATCTTTAAGTGCAGAAGAGGATGCTTCTTCAGTTATTGAGGCATTGACTACTGATGAGTTAGGAGGTTCTGATACAAAAGAATTTGCAAAAAGTACAGATGATTCAACTAATTTAAGCATATCGATAGAGGAATCTGGTCCTTCTGAACATGTATCTGAAAGTACTGGTAATGACATCTCCTCTGCTGTTATATCAGAAGGGAATGATTCCGTAGTTGGGGATTCTGTTTCAGATCATAGCTCCCAGAAAAATGAGAAACCAGCATGGAGTGAAAGTTCTGATGGTGGAAAAGAATTGTCAAAGAAACAGAGGAGGTATCGAGTGGATATTCTTCGGTGCGAAAGCCTGGCTGCTCTTTCGCCAGCAACTTTAGATCGTTTGTTTTTGCGTGACTATGACATTGTGGTGTCAATGGTTCCACTGCCTCCTTCCTCAGTTTTGCCGGGACCAAAAGGTCCAATTCATTTTGGTCCACCTTGTTACTCTTCAATGACTCCTTGGATGAAATTGGTCATATATTCTGCTGTGGCTAGTGGACCTATATCAGTTATTTTGATGAAAGGTCAATGCTTAAGATTGCTTCCGGCACCATTAGCTGGTTGTGAGAAGGCTCTGATATGGTCTTGGGATGGATCAACTGTAGGGGGTTTAGGAGGAAAGTTCGAAGGAAATTTAGTTAAAGGTAGTATTCTTTTACATTGTTTAAATTCGCTACTTAAACATTCAGCTGTGCTGGTGCAGCCTCTTAGCAGGGATGACCTTGATAAGGATGGAAAAACCATTACTTTGGATATCCCATTGCCCTTGAAAAATTCAGATGGTTCACCAGCTTGCATAGGTGAAGAGCTGGGGTTATGCCCAGAAGAGTGCTCAAAATTAAATGTAATGTTAAATGACCTTGCAAAAAAGATAGATCTCCTGACCATTGGTTATATTCGCCTGCTAAGACTATACAAAGAACAGGAACCTGAAAGCTCTATTTCTGATGATGAGAAATATGAGTGGGTTCCGTTAAGTGTAGAATTTGGAATACCACTCTTTAGTCCAAAATTGTGTAACAACATTTGTAAACGAGTGGTTTCTTCACAGTTACTTCAAACAGAGTTACTTACTGAGCATCATGATGCTATGCAAGACACGAGAAAGAGGTTGCGGGATATATGTGGCGAATATCAAGCAACTGGTCCAGCTGCCAGACTTCTTTATCAGAAAGAACAACCTAAAGAGTCATCTCGGCAACTAATGAACTATGCAAGCGGAAGATGGAATCCGCTTGTGGATCCTTCTTCTCCCATTTCTGGAGCCTCGAGTGAGCACCAAAGACTAAAACTTGCTAACCGACAGCGCAGCAAAACAGAAGTTCTGAGTTTTGATGGTAACATCTTGAGGTGTGTATTTATCATTTTACTGTCTCTGTCCTGTCTGAATATAAAGTAACTTTTATAAACTCTACTTCATACATATTTTTGCTACTTTGTTTCTGGCACTGACATTTTATAAATGTGCTGAAAATTTTAAAGCAAAATGCTTCTCTAGGGCATGTAGTGTATGGTCATTCAACTTTGCTGGTTAGCAAAAATCCTCTGAACAGCTGTCGATAAAATGCTGCAGAATAACAGGAGTTTGAGAATGCACATAACAATCTGCAGTAAAGCCTAGTATATGCCCTGCATAGTTTGGTGGGAACAATGTGAACAGCTAGGAATGCATAACGTATACATTTGCAACTTAATGCTTTTATTTTTTAATTGAAAAGTGAGAATAAGAGAACATAGAGTGTCAAAACATCCAGTGATGGCTGACCCTAAGGAATCTTAAATTTCCCATCCAATATTTGAATCTTGATGGATAATAGGATAAAATCTTGAGTTTGGAAGCAGTTTTTCCCTCATTGTTTATCCCTAAAAAGAATAAATTTTGTATGGCATCCTAGAGCTGATTTATTTTCGTCCCTCTGACAAGAACCAAAATAAAAATGGAAGTACAATAAACTTGTTGAATTTGAACATTTCCAAATGGCTTTGCAGATCTTATGCTCTGACTTCTATTTATGAGGCTGCTATCAGGCCTGATGAAGAATCACTTATTTTAAGCACCTCTAAAGTTGAATCAGATGAAGCTGACAGTAAAGAAGTTGTTCTGCCTGGTGTAAATCTTGTCTTCGATGGATCTGGATTGCGCCCTTTTGATATAGCTGCTTGTCTGCAGGCTCGCGTACCTGTCTCTTTGGTATTTGAGGCCTCAGCAGCATCTGCTAGTTCTATGGTCAAGTAAAACTGTGGAATGTGTTCTTTCATGGTTCTCTAAATTTGAATTTCTCCCAACAATGAGTAGGTGGGAGTGTTAAATACATCATGTGCTCATCACTGTATCGATCTGCTCAGTGTGCTTTGGATGGTGATGACGCAGAAGGTAGCATGGATGTCAAGGTGAGGACAGATGTTGTCTTTGGACATGATGTCAATTTTTTTGGGCGATACTTCTTTTAGAAGAGTATATAGACTTAAGTTCAGTAATGCGTCTTTTTTTGAAATGTTAGACAATAATGTGTAAGTGGCTCATTGTCAGTGCAAATGCATGCAACCGCACACGTGCAATAGATCATAACAAAGTAGTTAAAACTGCGCTTGTGCAATCTCATAGCTTTATGTCATTTTCTATAACCAGGATTTTATGTAAAGAATTTGACACCAAACAAGGAGCTTATTCTACCTTTATCTACTTCTTGGTGCAAACAAGGACGAACAGAAGAGTCTATTTCAACTTTAATAGTGCACAGCATTGTTCCACTTCCATCAAGTAGATTATATAGAAGAAAAAAAAAGCTTAATCATTAAAATTTACATCCGCCTTTTCTTTTTGATAAAAAGATTACTGCTATTGCTGATCACAAAGTATTACAGGAAAATAGGGACATACCCCTATATAAACTAGAAAGAATAAAGAAATAACAAGAAAATTGAACAAATAATATCCAAAATCTTCTAAAATAAGTTGAATGGAGCTATTGTTTGCTAAACACTTGTTCTAATGTGATGAAGGTATATTCTTGCAAGCAGCAAGAGTGAATCTAATGCAGAAATGATCTTAAAAAGATTAGTCTGAGTAGGCAGAAGAACCATTTGATTTCTTGCCAGCTGTAGTTGATAACATAGCAGTAGCAAGGACTACTAGTCATTCTTTTGCCTAGCAATTTTTTGAGTTGCAAATGTGGTAGCTTTGTAGTTAGAAATGAACTTTTGGCTCTTGGAGTGTGTGCTGGCTACTGCTGCACTAAACCTGTGTGTGTCTCCTAGCATATCTTCTTGATTGAACCTGGAATATGTTCTTTGTTGATCTTCTCATATGCTTATTTTCCTTGTAACTTTGCAGGTGGTTATGTTTTCTGGCTGCATTAGTATAGGGTGATAATGAAGAACAGATCAGTATCCGTGCACATCTTATTTTAGGGGGGGTGCCCTAAATACATACACGTTTATAATATAACAGACATTTTGCTGAGCCAACCGGAGATGTTTTTACTTTTTTTTTTTGCACATATAATCCAATGGGATAGAATGCCATTCATTTGTAAAAAACCTTTCAGTTGTTTTACATAGATAAGAAGAAGTGCTTTGCCTTGATCTTTGAACTGACATTATACTCTTTCACTTTTCTCAGATGGTAATCACTCTCCCAGAAAGGAAAAAGAGAAAGTATGATGTAGTTAATTTTTCACTAGACTATTTTGCCAAGTTATCATGTTTCCAGGCGGATGTCTTTCCAGCTCTTTGCTGGCTGTCCCATGTAGCAATTGATCTCTGAAATTAAGGTAATGCTAGGTCATATTACATTTGCCTCATAGCGCAAAAGATATAGGTTGAAGCATGTCTTCAAAATCAGCTTCCATGCATTTATGAGGTTTAGCAGTTGCCTCTATCAATCTTTTAACGACAATGTGGTATTTGACTGTTTGCCTTGGGTCGGGAGCTGAGAGGTCAAAGTAATGCATTCTATTCGGCAATTCTATTCTTCTGGAGTTGAAAGATAGTCTGAGGTGTATTCATCTACTACTTTTTAGCTTTTGCATTTTGCATGGATCTCGATTTAAAAACTGGAAACTAGATGTAAGGTGCTTTCCCAAGTGTAGAAAACCACTTGCGAAATAATAAATATCAACAAAATACCTGGACATACTAACCCTTTTTTGTAACTCTTGAGTAGATTATGAAAGGCTTGTTTCTATTGTAACCAAACCCTTTACTTTTTTTTTTTTTTTTTTGTCTTTTTTGTTCTATACAAATTATAGGGCATTAACACTATCATGTGCCTTCTCTTAACTCATTCCTTGGAGATGCAACCGATCTGAGGATCTGTTGAATTCCGGCCAAATGAATATTGAGCAACTTCTGACGTTGCTCCCAGTCCTTAGATACATAATCAAATGCGTCCGCACTAAGGTCAATTTAATAATATAATTTAACACTTAAATTTAATGAATTCAAGTTTTAACATATTTAGTGTATTTGATAACAAAAAATAAAAGATGCAAATTAGTTAAGTGATACTGAATTCTATAGTTTATTTCAAAAAATAAAGTGATAACGATTCATTTATCATTTAATGTAAAATATGTTCAAATTTTAAAATTTTAATACTTAATAATCTAATAATAATATAGTAAATTCACATTTTAGATTTCAACTTTCAGAGTCTTTCGATATTAAACCATGCTCTAGTTCTTAAAATTCTTTCGACCACTTCGCTAGAGAATAGAGATTTCATTTCTTGGTACCGTGACTAATGGTTTAGTAGATCCAATCACTTTGGGATGATGAATTAGGTTGGATTAGAAGGAAATGGAATAAAGTGGCACACTTTCTTACAAAAACAGCAAAGATAGTTGGTAGCGGTTTTTGGAGTGTTCCTCCAGACTTTTTTATGTACTGCTTTAGCAGCAGATTGTCAGTTGAATGATTTGGTTCACATCCGAGACGATAGCACATTAATAAGTTATCCATCAAATAACTTTTATATTTGATTTAAGTGTATAATACATGTGCGACTATGTACAAGGCTGCAAGGACTAAGCGAAATTGTACCTGATACTGTAGCTATGTAAGTCAGTGTAGCTTGGCGCCAAGTCCCACAGAGCTAACCTTGGAAGTGGCACCTCGAGCCCGTGATGAGGTAGTTAATCAGCTTTTTCTTCATTTTCCGGCCGTCGGAGTTTGACCGCCGGTGGAGAAAACCTCCCGGAAGTCTCCACTTTCAGGGTCCCACAGGTGGACGATATTTCCCCATAAAAGGTCTAATCAAGCCCACGTGTCAACTGTGAAATCTTTATGCCCCCCCAGACTCGCGTCTCCGTTCACGTGGCAGACACCAAAAACTTCCTTCCGTGCCGCTCTCGAAACTTACACCCCCCAAAAAAAAAAATGGTAATAATAAAAAAGAAGAAGAGGAAGAAGAAGAAGAAACAAAAAGGAAACGTCCAATTCCCATTACATCCCTCGAACTATCTGCTCATTCTAAGAAAAAGTACGCTAAAAAGCTAGTTCTAAAAGCCAGTTAGTTACTTCTTCCCTCTGTTCATAGATGCTGTAAAACTTTTTCAGATTCTTGTTGGGAAAATAAAGATGATGAAGAATATGATGGTGCTTTCCAGTTCTGCTACATTCATTTCTAGTAATTTCTACCCTTCTTTCCTGTTGCCATTTCACCACTCCTCCTCCGTCATGGGGTTGGTAACGCTTTACTACTCCTTTTCCAAATTGTCTATCTTCATGTGTAATTAGGCTGGAAATGGGATTTTTGTTTTTAAAAATTCCTTTAGACAAAAAAGAGTAAATTTTTGTGTTTTGGGTTTTCTCAGTTTGAAGTGTTGTAAAAGAGCATCGGGGGAAAATTCTTCCCACAGATTTTCTAGCAAGGTGAAAACGGCTTTGCTTATCTTGGTTTGGTCGATTATTGGGAATATAACATTGAGTTTATGTTATGTGATGGTGCATGACTCTACACCTCTTGGCTTAGGTTAGATAGAAGATTATGGCAAAATCAGATTTCCTGATGTATATGCTCCTCGAGCCCAACAACAACAGCAGCAATTGATTGAGGTACTCATAAAGTTTTTAATTTTATGTTTCTGATATTTTCTTTCAGTGTATTCATCGAGAGTAAGCTAAATGTTGATATTAAAAGATGCTATTCATAATTTCTGCATTTTCTTACCCTTCCCCTGAATTTACTCAAACCAAAAAAAATAAAAAATAACAATAAAAGGAGATTAAGAACTGTTATTAACTTGACTTTGTAACTGTAGGAAGAAGCTCCACCAATGACAGAGGTCATTCCTTCGCTAAGAGTTTCCCCAGGTCAGGCACATCCACTTGGAGCATCAGAGCTTGAGAATGGTGTTAATTTTGCCATTTTTTCTCAGCATGCAACTTCAGTCACGCTTTGCTTGCAACTTCCTCAGAGGTTGGGTCCAATATTGTTATTGAATTCCAAGGCTCCTATGTTTCATTCTTTTATTTTGGCTTTTGTAAACAGGACCTATTCGCTTGTCTGGCTTCAGATTTGTCTATTTATATCTAAAGATTCTCGTCAATTTTGTATCTTGATGCTTAGAGGTAGACTGATAGTTGTAGTCAGTTGCTGGAGAAAAGGATTCTAAGATTATTAAATTTTTTTATATATTTGATCCTAAAGCAATGCTGACCTTTTTCAGTATGATGATAATTTAAGTCTATGTAATCTCTGTTCTCAATTACTTGTATGCTGAGCCCTAAATCGCGATGCTGATATCTTGAGTGCAAATGATTAGGTTCCTTTCTTCTGCATTTGATCTGATTTAAGAACGGTTTCCATCATTTAACAAGATGACTGATATTATTGATCAAAAGTGAAATAAGATAGATAATGAAGGTTGACTTATATATTTTCATGCTGGATTATTGATGGTATGATCCTTTCATTTAGTGCTGATTCTTACTTGATTGGCATACTGTTTAAAAGGTCAAAAGTTCTTTTATCTACTTCCTTTTTTATTTTCATAATCTTTCATGTGATTAGTCGGGAAAAGCTTGACACCTTGCATGGAGAGATGATTGAATTGACGCTGGATCCTCAAGTGAATCGAACTGGAGATATATGGCACATTTGTGTTGAGGTAGGCTATGCTTCTGTTCCTGCTGCTTCTCTTTCTTATCATTAGTTGCAAGTGAATGTAATAGTTCATTATGCTTTCTTAAGCATGGTATTAGCATTAGGTTTGACTCTTCTTAGTAGTATTTGAGCTAAGGTGATCTTGTGTCGTAGGCTAACTGTCTAAGTTTTCCTCTATCCCCCTCCTTTTACTTTTAAAGTAGTGTGTAACTCTGTGCGCAGTATGGTTTATGGGATAGAGTTTACTAAAGCAGAAAGAAGATCCCAGGCAGTTACAGTGGAGAAGAAGAAAATATGGGTAGGGAGAGTGGGTTTGCACCATTTTCCAATTAGGTCATATGTGTAAATATCCTCCTTGCCCGATCTAACAGAAAATGACAGTTGACTTCAAAGTTGATGGACCATTTAGAGGGCTTCTCTATGTGCATTCTCATGAAGTCTGTCATATCAAAATCTCTGTTTTATTCACTCTTCTCCTTCTCCAGTTCCTTGTACCCTTTTTATTTTTTTTTGGTATAACATCTTATGTCTGGTGGGTGCAACTTCATGTATCAATTTGCATATGTAGGATTTGCCTCGCAGCAATGTCCTGTATGGCTACTACATGGATGGTCCTAAAGATTGGAGTCAAGGTCATCGATTTGATAGAAGCATTCTGCTGATTGATCCCTATGCTAAGCTTGTTGAAGGCCGGCGAGTTTTTGGAGATCTTAACAATAGAGGGTCACAGTTTTTAGGAACTTTTGACTTTGATACCTTGCCATTTGACTGGGGTGACGGTTACAAGCTTCCCAATATACCCGAGGTAAATTGTAAGTTGCTGCATAAATAGATTAAGCTAATGAGATTTGAAACACGAGTTAGAGCGACAAGTGAATAGCTGCATGTTTATCATGTATAACTGTGAATTTATCCATGTTAGCCACTGTTGAACATTCATTCATTATGAGCTTGTACATTAACCGAGTTTTTTGTGGGTATTTAAACTATGGAGCAATGTTTACTGTTGTTAACACATGTTAATTCACTGAAGGATTAATCTTTGTTAGAACTTTGTGTAGCCATTGACAGAGAAATTTTGTTGAGCTACCTTCTAACATGGACCATTGGACCTTACGTATATGCCATTGGATTTGCAGAAAGATCTTGTTATATATGAAATGAATGTCCGGGGTTTTACAGCCGATGAATCTAGTGGATTGGATCCAAGCATACGTGGCAGCTACCTTGGTGTGATTGAAAAGGTAATGTTGTTATGCTAAGAATTTTGTGTAACAGCCAGGAATTTTGTTGTCCTTTCTTCTGACCTGATTCTTGTTCCCCTTCTTCCCATGTGCTAGCTCTGGGCTTTCTTTCAGTTCTCCATCACTGTTTAATGTTGATCATGTAATCTGATCACCAACTAGTACTTCTGTCGGAACATATTCTGCTAATGTTATAACTCAAATTGTCCCTTAATTTGGTTCACATCTGGTTGTGTTAATCAAATTGGCGTGGTGATGGTAGTCTCTGTCGGAACTAGTGGCTCTTTTTGTTGTTGACTTTCATTTTGTCTCAGGGTTTGTAGTCTTAAATTATTTTCATGTTATGTTGTGTATTCTAACAAGCCTTTTCCTGTGAAGATACCTCATCTCTTAGAGCTTGGCATAAATGCTGTAGAATTGCTGCCTGCCTTTGAGTTTGATGAATTGGAGTTCCAAAGGCGCCGTAATCCTAGAGATCACATGGTGAGCTACTATCACCCTCCCCTTGTGGTTTTGCTGAGAAAAATTGTCATCAGGTGCACAATTGTATATCTGCTTTATCTTTTTACTTGTCAGAGAATGAATTTGGCTAATGTATAATATTCTCCTTGCTATTATCTCTCATGTAAAGTCAAGCCTTCAAATATTGGTTGAGCACCCAGTTTGGTGTCCTATATCCTTACATCACCTACTTCGATTTATGCTTCATGCATTCTGAAAATTTGACTATTAACAAGTCTTTTAACACCCTCAGCCTCCCATGTTCCCATGTAATGGAACTGCTAGAACATTTGAGCTTTGTAATAAGTTGAATGCTACTTCTGTTTTTGTTTTTGGTTAACTTAATTATTGTGATTTTATGTCTGTTTGGTTGCTCTTAGTAACAGAAGACTGATGTCTTATGATATCTGGGAATGACTGTAGTACTAGTTTATGTGTATAGTATTAAGCATATGTTATTTCTGTTAATGGACACGAATGCCAAGTTTCAATGGTACTTATTGACTTATATTTCTTTCAAGATCAACACGTGGGGTTATTCAACTATAAATTTCTTTGCACCTATGAGTCGCTATGCAAGTGCCGGTGGGGGACCTGTCAGTGCTTCTAGAGAGTTCAAAGAAATGGTTAAGGCACTACATGGTGCAGGAATAGAGGTATGGTCTCGTAATATCTTTAAATCTAGCAATGTGACGCTAAATTTCTTAGGTTTCTCTGTCTTGATTGCTTTTGTACTGAAGTCCTTGGTTCGCCATATACTCATCCTTTTACTTTGTACAGGTCATTTTGGATGTTGTTTATAACCATACAAATGAGGCTGATGATGAGAACCCATATACTACCTCTTTCCGTGGGATAGATAACAAGGTGATTGCATGGTGGCATCATAAAGTTTGAGAGGTTATTGCAATTATGACATGCCAATTTCATGGCATGCCTGATGCCAACTACATTTTCTAACTGCATGAGGAATGGCTAATTCTTCAAAATATTTACAGTGGAAACTTGACACCAGAGATATAAATACTGTACTAGGATTGTTGAATCATGGTTGAGATTTGGAAAATGACAAGACCCAGTTGTTTATCTACAGAAACACTATGCTGGTTGACAGGACATCCATTCAACAACAAATACTTAATATAGCAGATGCACAGCTACATGGAATCATGTAGCCTTTGCAGCGAACTTCTAGTTGTAGTTAATTATTAAGTTTATACAGTTTTTCTCATGAGGATTCGCTATTTAGGCTTTTGTCCCTTTACATGGTTGCCCATATTTTTCTTCTATTCTTACCTTTTTTTGCCTGATAAATTGCTTGCAGATTTATTACATGGTGGATTTGAACAATGGTGGTCAGCTGTTGAACTTTTCAGGCTGTGGTAATTCCTGTGTCTTTGTAATGATTTTGTGAAAGGTGGATGTAGGGCATCTATAATTTAGCATCTCTTTCTGTTTGTTCAGTAATTTATGATGGCGAGTTTAGTTTTTCCTATCCAACTTTTGCATGATATTTTTTGATGCGGAGACATAGGTGTCATTCCATATGACCCATAGGGAAGTTATGCATGACTTAAGTTTCAGAAGTTGGAATTCTGAGTAATTAATATTATTGTAATACTGATGTAAGTAACAAATTTGCTTATTATCTGCAGCTGAAATCAAGAATAACTTACTTTCACACAATCTCCCCTGTAGTTTAATCCTTCTTGTTTTTCAATTCGTTTGAATCCCATGTGAGTGTGAAATACATGAGATTAATCATCATACTGCTACCTACACATGAAATAGCAAGATGATTAACAATGACAAGCATATAATGGGGCATCATGACACAGAAGATTCCTGAACGCTTTGCAAAATCACTCTGATATTCTTTTCAGTGATGACATTATTAACTAATTGACAATTGGCAGATCCTTTTTCTTTTTTTAAAAGGGGTGGTGGGCTTGGAGGCTGGGGACTTGATGGTAAAGGATTCTCCTAAAGTATGACCACTGTAATTGAGTCATGGTATAAGGAGCCTTAGAATCATTTTCTGATGCTTGTTTGATTGGACAACTGGTAAGGTGATAAGAAGAATTTACTTTCTACTATATTATTCTGGCTATCAATTTGCTATAGAACCTTATTCTATCTAAAACCTGTAACTCTTTGTTTTTAAGCTTTGTACAAGCTCAAGGAATTAGAAATCATTGGGTATTCTCTCTTTTTCTGTTTGTACTTGGTTCCTGTTTATATTATAATGTTTTTCTTTATGAACGTCTTATTGTGTGTAGAAATATAACAGATACATCATATGCTATTTATCTGTGGAATACAGGGAACACATTCAACTGCAATCATCCTGTGGTCATGGAGTTTATACTTGATAGCTTGAGGCACTGGTACTTTCTCATTCTTTTCTTCCTCCTGGAATTTTTTTTTTAATATTTTGTTTAATCCCTATTTCCAATGCCTCCCATTAGACATCAGGCTATCCGCCTAATGCAACACCAATATTGTTGTGGCCAGAAACTTTCAGATTGAAATGTAGTTGCATGACTCAGCAAAATGTATTCTGAAATTCTGTTCTTTGTTATAATAATTATAACTATTCAAGGGTCACAGAGTATCATATCGATGGATTTCGCTTTGATCTAGCCAGCGTTCTTTGTCGAGGAGCTGATGGTTCTCCACTTAATGCTCCCCCACTTGTTAGAGTAAGTCAGTGGTACATATCTGATTTTACTTAATGTTAGCCCATCCTGGTATCTCTGATTTTTTGGGAGGAAATCTTTGGTCCCAAAAGTTTGAAATGGCAAATGTGCTTTGAGAATTGTTGTATGAGCTGAGTAGCTAACTACAAGATGGCACTTCTTTCTCAATGTGTATACATGCTCGTATAAGAAATACTTCAAGATAAAATCAATATAGTTCCTGAATGAATCTCTGCTGTGTGGTAATAGTTTGTGTCTTTTTCATGACACATCCATTTCTTGTGCTTCTGAAGGTAATGTGAAAAAAAAAATAAAAAGAGGGGATTCTGTACCTATCCACACACTTCATTATAATCCTTCTGTGCAGGCAATTGCTAAAGATAGTATCCTATCACGGTGTAAGATTATTGCAGAACCTTGGGATTGTGGAGGTCTTTATCTTGTTGGAAGTTTTCCAAATTGGGATAGGTAATTGTACATAACCTCATCAACATTTAGTGGATTGCTGCAATTGCTGAACTTGTGACCCTGTCATAATCACTATATGAGACAGCTTTTAACCACTCCTGGTATTAACTGTACAAAATAGTCTCAGAAGATTCAAATGATGATTGTTGTATGAAAATTTCGAAATTATAAGGGTAATTGCTCCATATAGAGAACACTATTCTTTTTATTGGACTGAAATGTTGAAATTTTAGTGAAATCTATTATGCATTCTATAGGAATTAATCATCAATAGCCTGAACATTGATGAACTGGACTTCAGTTGTAAGAACCTGACTGCAGAATATCATCTATAAAACATTCATTTCATATTTAACATAGCTTGAATTTTCTTAATCTTGTGCCTGTATCTGTTCACATGGAGACTTCATTTGCAACCATATGCTTCTCGCTGGCTTGACTGTACTGGCAAAGCTAGTCTATTTTCTTGTATTGTATCCTTTATAAATTTCTGATTCTCATAGATCCTTGCTTATCTGTCTTTGTTTGAACTGGATCTGTGATAAATTTATCTTACTAATTTGTCTTCATAGGTGGGCCGAGTGGAATGGTGTATACCGTGACGATGTTAGAAAGTTTATAAAGGTAATTTAGTGCTAAAATCTTAAATATTTGTCAGTAAACTTTTTGATGTCAAGCAATTTACTCAATATTGGTGGAACATGTTTCCATAATAAAGTACAGGAAATAATTGAAAGGGGATGAACTTCTGGTAAGATTATTGAAAAACTGCATGTATTCAACATATTTTGATTAGGTATAATATGAGAAACCTTTTGTTTTGTAATTAGCATAATTCTTCTCATAGACATGCCCATATAAGTGTTCATAGTCTATAAACAATTTTATGTTTGTATTCTTCAGATTATGAAGGCCAAATACACCAACTTCCATATTATCTTTTTAAGTTCGAAATTATGCTTATAAGTAACATCATAGACATAATTAAGCTCCCAGATGCAAGCAGTGTACGATATGCTGATCCAATGTTCCAAAAACCTAATATTCTTGTGTCCTGTTTCCTAACTTTATCATCTTCACTTTACCAGGAGAGGACATCCATCTACTTTTCATGCTTTTCCTTGTATAAAATGTATATGCACGTGCATGCTTTTTAGTGGAGTAACAATAACAGATGAGGACTGAAAATGACTTGGAGGGTGAAAGTCCTTTTGCACGTTAGTTCTCCATTAGTTTCAAGAATTTCCATGACATGCTTGTGGGTGTTTCCCTGGTATATTCTTGATTTGAAATAATGGTACTTTTGCTTCATTTGTTATGACAGTCATTATTTGTCATGGAATTAAGTAGAGGTGAGGCAGGATGCTCCTATCTTTTTCCAGGCTAGATGGTGGTTTCTTGTAATGTTTTGCCCTTTTTTATTTTGGCCGTTGAACTAGCTTGAACACTATCTGCTATATTACAAAGTTTATGTTTGAAATCTTCTGGGATTACAACCAAATAGGTGTATCAAGGTCCAAAGTTTACATATGCAACTAAGAGTTTATTGGTTTGCTTAAAGTTTTATTCCTTAATTGTTTATGTTTGGCCAGAACAATGGTCCATGTGTGGAAGAAAAGAATCTCTATGGACTTGATACATTGCTTCTTTGTTGAATTTGATACAAGATTCTGCTTGGTGTGTGTATTTGTAATCGTATGCTCTTGCTCTTTTGCTGAGGCTTTTTATTTTCAAGGTCTAGATTTCTCCATGTTTATGATTAATTGTTCTGCATATTTTCTTTTAGTACGGCATCTGTATCTTTGCTTCTAATCTTGCATTCTCCAATTGGAGCCACCAAATACATATGGCAAAAGAATAATTGATACTTGAAATATTTTGATATTCTGTTATTTTTATTCTTAAACAATCATAATCTAGGGTGATGCTGGAATGAAAGGGAGTTTTGCAAGTAGAATGGCAGGTTCTGCTGATCTTTACAGAGTGAGTGCTTTAACTTTGCAAACATAAGTCCAGTATAGCAACACACATTTATCTGATGTCTATGAGCACCTGTGCAGAATATAGTAAATGTCTTGCTTCTGCTTTGTGCAGAATATAGTAAATGTCTTACTTGCTTCTGCTTCCTGCTAGGTCAACAAGCGCAAGCCTTGTCACAGTATCAATTTTGTTATTGCACATGATGGGTTTACGCTATATGATCTTGTTTCATATAACACTAAGGTATTGGTGGAGAAAGTTGAGGACTATCTCTCTTACTTGTTCTGAACTTAAAATTCGAAGCTAATTCCTTCTGAAATTGCAGCATAATGATGCAAATGGAGAAGGTGGCAATGATGGAAGCAATGACAACTTCAGCTGGAATTGCGGAGCTGAAGGTAAAGTTCATATTTGTTTTTTGTACTCCTGTTTATGCTTATATTGGCCAGCATACAATTGCTGTTTATGCTTATGCCCGCATTACCAATATCTACAATTGAGGTTTGCTTTGTGAGATGCAGCACGATTAATATCAGGAGGTCATTTGACGCTGGCCATTTTCATTTTAAACCAAAAAAGTTTTGCTGCAAATGCGGCTACTTGAATAGAACGCACATGCACACACAAGTATGTACTGTTTTATGTATGGTCTGCATTTCTATGGAATGTTGTTGCATAAAAACATTTGTGTACATAGTTAATTGACCTCCATCTTTGTCATCTATTTTCCTGCGCTGGAATCTACTTTAGGTTTACTTGGAAATCTCTTGATAAGCAAGCTAGTAAAGAGAAAATAAAATGTTTTTACGAATACTGACTTCAAAAATGCTTGATCTGGTAGGAAGACCAGCCTAGATGTTGCATAAACTTATGTTAGTGATTAATGAGAGAAAATATCTCCATGTTTAGAGCACATTAACAGAAACACCTACATCTCTGATTTGTTGTCTAAAGATTATGTTTTGATGATTTCAATAATTCTTTGGTTGCCATTGTGAAGGTAAAATTAGTGAATTCCTACTTTCTGAGCAGGAGAAACTGCAGACCCAAAAATTCAGGCACTACGTTCCCGTCAAATGAAAAATTTCCATTTAGCACTAATGGCATCACAGGTACACCTTTTCTTTTTTGCAATAGCAGTTTTTAAATATTAGTGCTGGCTTAACCACTACACTGGAGTTGTAAGCTTTCTGGATCAGGCTTTTCACAAAGGTTTAGTTTGATATAAAATGGACGGTCCAGAACAGAGTTACCTTTGATCAGAATTCATTCAACTTACAAGTTTTTAAGTCGTGCATTCTCAGTGAGCTTTAAGAATATGATTTTGTCAAGCACCTGTTTTATTTCTCTTGGAAGATAATTTCTCGAGTGAATAGTTTTAGGGTTAATCACAATTAATCCCATTAAAGCATACCTCATTTCTCACTTAAGCCCCTAACAATTTTTTTGTCTCACTTTATCCCCCATTGGACAAAATTATCCCTCTATTATTCTAAACTCTTATTTTTCTCTTTTATTTTTTTTCCTTTCCCCTTTTGTGCTCCTTGATTTTCTTTGCCTCTTTCTTCTTTCTTTAATTCTTCCTCTTTCCCACAAAAAATCTTCATCTTAATGATTGAAATTAAAAAAGAGGAATTGCAAAGATCTATTTTCTCCTTAAATGATTACAAAATATTCAAATCACTTTCCTAAAATACAATTTTTTTAGCCTTTCAATTCTTTTAATTTTGGTTTTTCCTCTTTTCTTTCTAGCTTCTCATTTTATTCTCAAGAAAATATCATAAGATGAAATTGTGACCTGATTAATAATCATCAATTGAAAATTGTGACACGTGGCATCATACAAAAAATCAAAATTGGTTTTTGATACCTTTTAAACCTTCACCCAGAAATGCAATTACAAATTCAAGATAAAAATTTCCGTTGAGATGGAGTTTTCTATTGGGAAGGATGAGAGAGAGAAGAAAGAAGAAAGAGAAAAAGAAATAAAAGAGAGGAAAAAAGATAAATGAATAGTCAAAATAATGGAAGGGTAATTTTGTCCTATACGGGGTTAAGTGAGCAAAATTAAAGGTTAGGGGGTAAAGTGAGAAATGGGGTATACCTTCAGGGGATTAATTGTGATTAACCCTTAGTTTTAATATCTGATTCCAACTTGAGGTTTACCAAGGCTGAGGATTGGGATTTAAATTTACATTATAGCTCTAGGTTTACCAATGATTATGGGTATTATGCCCTTGGGTCAGGTTTAATTCGTTTTACTGCCAATTAAAAAGCAAGTGCAAGTGTGACAACCTGGAGATTTTCATGTTCAATGCTTCTCTGGAAATTTAGTGTTCGTATTGACTAATAAAGCTAGATGCTGTAAGATTGAACTGTAAAAAGGTAGAAATTTGTCCTCAAATTACTTGGCCCCAAGATTATGCTGCTTACAGAACTCAAATCTTATTAGTTACAGATTTACATGGTCTTGAAATTTTTTATCTCCAAGTATGTTTTGCAATACTTTGACCAGAGTCATGAGGTCCACATTCGGTTGCTGACTTTTTGTCGTTCTTTAAGAAAATTTAGATGACAGAGTAAATACACGTTGTTAATCATGTTCCTGGACCCTACTTGAACTTTCTGTTTTTCATCTGCTTACTTTGCACTAAATGATATTCCTGTATATCATGTATGTGCCCAAGGCAAGCATTTTTCCATAACACATCGAATGCAACTTTTTGGTTGAGTTTGTGGGTGTTGATGCACTTCTTTGGTTGCATATAACCAGGGGGTACCAATGATGCTCATGGGGGATGAATATGGACATACTCGTTACGGTAATAACAACAGCTATGGCCATGATACTGCTATCAACCATTTCCAGTGGGGACATGTATGTTGTGCAAAAGACATCGTGGGTATTGTTAATTAATCTGAGGAAGTATTACTAAGCTTCTAAACTCTTGACAAAACAGTTGGAGGCCAAGAATGATCACTTCAGGTTTTTCTCGGAGTTAATAAAATTTCGCAACCGGCATCATGTTTTTAGAAGAGAAAATTTTATTGGGAAGGTAATTATTTCCAGTCTGGTGTTACTCACTTTTCTCATCTGCTCATAACTTTTTTCTTCTTTCCATATTGCTAATTCTGAACCTCTTCTCTTGCAGTATCTAACTTCTGAAGTTAATTTTTATAGAATTCTATGGATTTTCAAAATAGAAATGCTCTTTCATGTTTGACAGGAATCTTTTCTTTGTCTCTTAGTTATTTTGCATGTTGGATGTGTGGGGGAGAGGTTGGGGTGCTTGGGGTAGCTTAGGAATAATGCTATTAGTTTCATCTGTAATCTATAGGATATTCAGTTCCTTCCCCTTTTATAGGAATATAATTAAGTACACAATTATCAATCTTATTCTTCTTTTTGCCCGAAGGAGAATGGAGTGGGAGCTGAGTATTTTTCAATATTGATCTGAATTGTCAATAAGTTTATTTGAGGGAGTGGGTCCGAACTTTTTGGCACTCGAGAATCTCCTATCCTTTCCTGACCTGTTTTTTCAGAAATACAGAACTAGTTCATCTATAAATTCAACAATCAAGGTATTTTAATATTAGATGAGTTTTCTCACATGGATGTTGCTTCACTTATTCAGATAGATTACTGTCAATTATGTACACGAGGCATCATATTTAGTTGATATGACATTTACTATTTATCTTTTCTTTAAAGCATATCAAGTTGTTATTATATATAGTGGACCTGTATAAATAGCACAAGTTTATCTGAATTATGTTTTGAAATTACTGCGAAAGATACTGTTTGTTGTTTAACTACAATAACAGCAGGAGAAAGGCCATACAGTTTGGATATAATTTCTTTACATTCTCCTTTCTTCCCCCCCCCCCCCCCCCCCCCACAAAACCTTATTGGAATTTGGGGAGTGGTTTCTTGGAATTTTTACCATTATGATGTCTTACTCCAAACACATTAATCACTCTTCTGTGCAGAGTCAGGTGACATGGCATGAAGACAACTGGGACAATGCAGAAAGTAAATTTTTGGCATTTACGTAAGAAATACTGATTTCATCCTTTGATGAAGCAGTTTATATTACCATGAATTCTTTGTGCTATTATTCCTTGGATCAGATTGCGTGCTTCATAAATACCATTTTAAGACTTGAGTGTCATTGGTGTTGGAATGTTTTATCTATGTAAGAAATCTTATTATAACCTTTTCACTTTTGAAAACATAATATGCTTTTGTAAGATTTTTTGTATTTTTTATACCAGAACTTCAGCATTTTGTTTATTTTCTGAAACATAATATACTGCTGTAAGATCTGTGTATTTCTCTTCTTGCACCTTTCTATTTCCATCTTTTTGTATCTAACTGTTCCTTTCTGTTCTGTCATTCTCTTGCTGCATATGACAGAGACGAGTGATAATTTATCGCTCTGTTTTTGTTATTTTTCGTTTACTAGCAGGTTCTTGAACTTGTGAGCATGCATCTCTCAGACTTGGAATATGTTGGAATAGCAAGATGCAACTCTTGCATTTTTAATTTTTTTGGTTTTCTTCTTTAATATTTTACTTTTTCCATATCATTAAGAATTTAATATATTCATGAACGGTTTCTTGTTATGATTGGATGACCAAAATTGAAGCACATTTTTTGTAGGCTTCATGATGAGAATGGAGACGATGTTTACCTTGTATTCAATGCACATGATTATTTTGTTAAAGTTGGGATACCATCTCCACCACAAAAAAGACGGTGGTTCAGAGTGGTTAGTTTTCTTTCCTTCATTGAGTTCGCATTTTTTACACTTTTGCCTGAGTATAGGTTCTCTTGAAAATGTTTTGTCCAATTTTTCATCATATTTATCAACATTCATATGAGCATTTTTGTTGGTAATTTTGAAGCCTTCTGTGATCGAGGTTCGGCACTGCTGACATTTGCAATTGACTATAGTTATAATTTAGCTGCTAAATGCTTAAACTGTTTTAGTGTCACTTGATGTCTCTTCAGATCAAAGTACTGCAATGTCCCATAAGAATGAAAGTCAAATAAACTTAGCCCTACATAGCAGTACGACGACTTGTTTTCGAAGGGAAATAGTAGGTGAATATATACTGAGGCACATTTATAAGTAACCCTTTCTACATCAATAACTTGAAGTTCCCAAGACCCCGTAGTTGGATCTTAAGTTTGTCAGAGCTCCCTTAAACATTTATTATTACTATTTTTTTGTACACTGGATAACTCAGTATTAGTAGGCTGCCTATTTGGATTGCTGGAAATTAATTGTGTCTAGTCCACTATGACGAGTAGTTTGCGCGTTGAACATGATTGCAGGGATGTGTATTTACTGGCACATCCACTGCATTTAGTTGCTAAAAGTTAGTGGAAGCCCGAAACCCCAATACTCCCAAGATCTCATACTACAAGCAATTATGTCGCAGGTAGACACAAATCTGGAATCGCCAGATGATGTCGTGCTCGAAGGTGTTCCGGGAATTGGGACTAGATACAATGTTGCACCTTACTCTTCGGTGCTTCTTAAAGCAAAAAAGAAGTGAATGGCAGAGGTGTTGCTCAAGAATGTGGTTGTCCCACACTGAAGTTGCTTGGGGGTGGTTGATAGCTGCCAGAGATCCAGAAAAATAAGAATAAGAGACTGCAGTATCTTAACCAGATGGAGAATAAAAACAGGTAAAACTTGGACAGGATTATACATGGGTCGTCAGTCATCTGATCAAACTCAGGGAAAGCATTCCCCATAGTGGTAAACTACAAATTTTTATAATACAGCCAGGCCATGAAATAAAGGAGGACGCGTCTAATAAATTCTTGTCCATGGTGCAATACAGGAGTCGCAATTTTTTGGTTTTCAAATCAATATGTTCTTGCAGTAATAAAATTGTCAGATGCACCACATTGACAAAGTTAATGTCCTGGGATAATCTTTTTTCCTGGGTCAATATTACTAGTGTTGTGATGTGTTTTTCTTTTTCTCTTATTTTGGTAAGCTTCTCTTCAGGTAGTGAATGAAATTTTTTTAAATTAACAGCAAGTGAATGGGTTACAGTAATGTTCCCTTGAGTCTTGCTTTCCATTTCACAATCCTTCCCTTGACTTTAGTTCAAAGAAACATGAAGTGGGCTTCTGCACTGCTGGCTGTCCCAGAAGTAAAGCAACTGAGAAATGCGAGGGATTCCCCCAGCCCAACAACACCAGTCAATCGTCCCTTTTCAGGAAAGAAAGTAAAGTTGAAAATCAAGGGAAAAGGTGGCCTCCCTAAAATGCTAGTTACTATATATTTGGTGGTGGGTGGGGGGTCTCCAGGTCAGGTGGACTACAGTTGTTAAAGCAAAGATTATTGGCCACGGGTTATGGAAGCCTTGAGATATGGGACCGCAACCAAACAGTACACCCAAAAAAATGCGACCACTTCAATGTGTAACTCCGTTCTAAGTACTAAAGCAGCGTCGCCCTCACAAGCAAACAATCTTTGTACCTTAAAGAATTGAATGCTTTGCTATGTTGGATATAAATTTAAGCGCTGGCTCTTTTTTCTTGTCACGCGGCGTTGGGTGTGATTCTGACGTACGTAATTTGAAAATCTATGCCATAGTTGTCGCTCTCCATTCTTTATTACTATTCACTTCTGATCTCAGCCCGCAAACAGGAAGAGCAAAAAAAAAACAGAGAATGAAAAAGGGGACCATTTCGTAGAGACTCCACCAGATCAAAGCGATGCAGGTGTCGCAACGACGTTTAACAATCTGGTGGTCTATTACCTATTACTATTAGTGGTAGTTTACCTCAGCCTGAACTGCATCCATTTTCGGAATTGCCTAATACCCTTAAGGCTTCAATGAGATCTTTAATTTAATGATATAAGAAAAAAATTCATGATTTATGCACCGACGGTTACAGGTGGGGTGTAAGCGATTATTTTTGCTATTTTTTTTTTAAGTGAAAGATTTTAAATTCAAGATCTCTTACTTGCAATTTTCAAATGCCATGGAAAAGAATTGTATTAATCATATCCAGAAAAGAGAAGAAGAAGAGGAGGAGGAGGAGGGAAATCATGAGTTTGTTGTGTTATGTGTAGTTTTTCGACAAAGTCACGAGTAGCCGTATTAATGTGTCTGCTTGCATGTTTAAATGGTTAAGATTTACTACTTAACTATTGTTCATAAAAACATGTTGCTTGCGACTGTGCGAACTAACCTTAAACTTCAAAACTTCCAATAAGAAGTCGATGTGTTTTGGTAAAAATTTGCCTATCAGGAACTATTAGCGGGATGTTAAAAGAAACTAAAGCAGTGTGAGCTATAAATCTTGATTGAAGATCTGCGAAACAAGAGGGATAGAATGAACTATGAAGGATGTCCATTGTCCAAATGGCAAATATTGGGCAGATTATATGTTTTCTGAATCTCTCATAAATGACCACAACCACGAAAAGACTTGGAAATGGTTTTTTTTTTTTTCGAATACGATAAATTATATTCTACAACTATTCCTACTCTATATTAAGGAAGGGGGAGATCCAAAGGAATCAACGAAAAAATCCGGCGGAATTGAACCACCCCTAGTCCGTAGGCACTCGTCGCTGGCGAAATTTTTCTAAAAAACTTGGATTTAGACCCAAGTAGGTGCATTTGATAAAATTGAAGTCTGAAAATCGAAGTCTAAAATCTGAAATATGAATCTATTAAATATTAAATTTAATATATTTGAGTGTATATCATATATTAGTGATAAGTGAGTAGTTTATCACTTAATTTTGAAAGCAAGTTTTGCCTCAGTGCCACTTAATTAATTCAGATGTTCAATTTTTAGTTAGCAATCGGTTCGAATATATTAAAATATGAATCCATTAAATTTAAATTGGATTGTCAAACATGGCCTTAAAACTTTCTTGGTGGCCAACAACTCTATGAGTAGCTGGTTCCTGGAAATGGTATATGTTCAATTTTTTTTTCTTTGGGTTTATTAGGCATGGGCTTGGAATTAATATATCTTTTCGGTACTAAGTAAACGCGTGAAACAAATGATGAACAACACGCTTCCTACCCCAACACGGAAAGGAACAAGTTGGAGTAGTGGTTAACAAAACTAATAAAATCAGCAGCAATTTACGCTAAGAGAAGTAAACCCTTATCTTTCCTTCCTTCAACTTCAAGGTTTGTCGAGAATTGGAAAAGTGGAGATAATTATGTTCAAGCTTTCACGAATATGGTAAAAGTTATATCTTCCATCTTTTCCTTGGGTTTTGACAATATTAGTTAATATGGAAACTTGGACTCGTTCATATGACCAAAATACCATGGACTTATGGAGCTTAGCTTAAATTGGATTGTTCACCATTATTATACGGCAAGCCAAATTCACAGCATGCTAGCTTTAAGAAGCTCAATCAACTAGTACAAGACAAGAAAAGTTAATATAGTCTTAAAGACGAAATATTCATATATAATTTTGGTACGATGGGAAGACAGAAGTTCCCTTGAATCAACAGACCCAATTTAATTAATCAACAAGCAAAAGATTTGCAATGCCCTTTTTGTAGACTTTGGAAATTAGGACATTCTCCAGAAACTCTTTTCTTGTCAAGAAAAAATCCCACGAGGAATTCTGTAAAAGGTGTGACTTAATTGGTTCTGATAGAGTAACCCGGCAGCAAAAAATTTGTGATCCCTGAATCAAACTCGATCTATATGGACGTCTCAAACGATTCCATCTAGCAAGTAGCCGCTATGAAGTTACTATCGTATCAGCATTTATTCGAAGGATTTCTTTAGTGAGTGTTTTTTTTAATGGGTTAGTATTCCTAAATCACACTTAATCTATCATATTAAGAATTTTTCTAATGAAAGTAGGCACTCGTTAACGTTAACACACCTAAATCACAGATCAGTTTGTCACGGTAAAAAGAATAAAAAAAAAAAAAAAAAAGCAAGCATATTATGAACAAAATATTTCATTCCCGACAAGCTTGGCTACTTACAATCAACCTTATGATAGCTGGTTTGGCAATGTTGTGTCCTATACTAGCGTGCTCTTCGTGGCTTCGTCCCCCTTGCGATGGGTTATAGCACATGTTTTGTGGGAATTTATTCTAGTATCTGTGTATTCTCTCCGCAAAGCACAATTGTCTAAAGCGATTCTTGAAACAAAGACCAAACACTTGTGCCAGTTAACGTCTTATTCATTATTGACAGTTGACACACCAAATTAGTCGTTCAGAACAACTGTATTGATTTATGCATCCCCCCCCCCCCCCCAACAAAAAAAATTTTTAAGAAACTGGTGGCGTGCACTTGTTTAAGCTTTTGAAAACCTTACTCCTGGTTTGGATTTGTAATTCAGCTCTTCAATGCATGTCTTTCAACTCTTGAAGTCTTGATCTACATCCAACATCCATTAGTTTGTGATTCAGCTTAACATTTTAATACGAGGGGTTAGTAGGTATAAGAACCTATTAGATTAAAGCGGTGTTCTGACACTTTTTTGAATTTTTTTCATTACAGGTAGGGTTCGAACTTCTGACTTACAGTTCAAAGGCAGACTTTAGTTAGTTCAGTGGTTAGTTATTTCTTTAGTTAGTTCTGACTTACGATGATATGAATGTTAAAGAACTTGAATTACAGCTAGTATTTTGTTTTGTTTCAATTAACAACCCCATCCACACACAGTCATATAGTTTTTCTCAGCTGCTAATACAATAAAATAATACCAACTGTGATGCGTATATTTTTTTTAATTCTAACTTTACAACACAAATTAAATTAATACATGCATGCAAATGCAACAAAATTATTGACCATCCCTATCACAGAAAACATTTAAATTTAAACAAATCTATGATCTGTAATTTTCCGTTGGAAGTCGTAATCATAATCATTATTAATTACAAAGAAAAGCATAATTGTCCTCCCTGTCCCCCTCATCGCCCTGCCCAACGTGCCAATCATAACGGTAACCAGAAAACATTTGTCACAATAGTAGTATTTATTTTTTAATTTAATGATCCAACGGTCCTCAGAATCTTTCTTTCCCAAACCAACTTCACCCGTCCGATCCACACGGCCTTCCACGCGTGCGCTACAGATCACTTCAAAAAAGCAACCCTACCGCGTCTCCAACTCTCCCCATCACCGCCCCGACTTTCCCCAGCCTGTGGTCCAGTTGTCATCCAATCATTAGCTCCCAGGTCCAATTTACGGCTTCCTTAAAATTTCCCAACATTTATTATTGTATTTCCTTAAACCGACTTAGTTTTCTTAATTAAAAAGTAGTCCTGTTTTTCCCTCTCGTACCACTATATATATCCTCCTCCTACCCTTTACGACTCCTCAGATCCCCGCTACAGAAATCCTCGTCTCTCGCCCTATACTGCGTGCTAAAGCTGCTCGCTTTCTCTTTTTCTTTCCTCTGTTGAGAAAACCTTTGTTTGTTCTCTCTCTGTTTACAACATGGCTTTTTCAAGAGTGGTTTTGGCTTTGATGATGTTCGCTGTTGTGGTTGGAGCAGCGGTGGCTCAAGCACCGGGAGCATCACCGGCGGCTTCACCGAAGAAATCACCGGCTCCAGCAGCATCACCAAACAAGGCAGTTACCGCACCGACTCCCTCCGCTGCTGCGACGTCACCGGTTTCCGCTCCCAAGACCTCGCCAACCGCCGGTCCCGCGGCTTCTCCACCATCGCCTTCAACCGTTGCTACCCCTGCCTCTGGTCCTTCTGCTACTTCTCCGTCGTCCATCGCTGGCAATCCTTCTGGTGCTCCAGCTTCCACTCCTAACGGTGCTCCCGCTTCCACTCCTGGTAACGGTGCTGCATTGAACAGAGTCACCGTCGTTGGATCTGCTGGCGTAGCATTCCTTGCTGCCGCCTTGTTGTTCTAGATCTTCTCCGATCCGGCGAGATTTGTTTTCCACTAGACTTTCTTTAGCATCTATATTTATTGTTCTTTTTTTTTTTAATCATTTTACGGTGACGACAGTGGTAGTGATGATAGTAGCTCTGGTGACGCTGATGATGAGTACATTATTTTGATTTACTCTTTTTTTTTTTTTGCCTTTTGGTCTGTGCACTTGATTTATTATCATTATTGTTGATTTATTATTATTATGGATTCTTTTTTTTTATAATATTTTGTTACTAATTTTGATATTCGTGTTAGTAGAGTAACACACAGTTCTTTTACTAATTCTAGTACGGGAAAAAATAATTATTAGTATCTTATTTTGATTTTCAGATAATTAATCCCGTGAAACAAATATATACAGTAATCGTCAGCGCTTTTTTATATTAATTGTCATCATTATCTAACACTTATCGAACGGATCATTATTTTTGGGTAAGCTCAAATTAACTTCCAAGTATTATCATAGCTTTTGTGATAATTAAACTTTTTTGTAAAAAAAAAAAAAAAAACTTTTGTGATAATTGTACAGCGTTAATATTTTCGAAACAGTAATAATTAAACTGTTCGTTTGACCCATAATCGACAGTGTGTGACTTCGCAATTTGTCTCTAAGTAGAGGCCAAGGCGTCATCAAAATATCTAAAAGAAGTCTGCACCGTTTCTGGGTGTGGTGCTGTGGCGAGAGTTTTTTTTTTTTTTTTTTTTTTGAATTTTGGTGCCTGTTTAGGTAAATGATGAAGTATGTTTATTTATGCTTTTTATGGGAGTCTGGAAACTGCTTTAGTGTGTGTGTGTCACGTGGAGAGAACAGCTGTTGGGGAACCTTATCGTACAGAAAAGCCCCCCATGTGCTCCTCCGTCGTCATAGCGCCAAGGGTGGGAGCCCCCAAAAGATTACTAGTATTAAACAAGTTTGTTGCCTTGTTTGTTTTGGTGTCAATGCCTAAAGATGGTCGTCGGATTTTAAACAGTTGTCACAAAATACACCAACCAACATTTGGGGTTAAAAACCGACCTTCCATGACTAGTCTAGTAAACAAATACTAGTAGGGTTTTTTTATTTCCCCGGACATCATAGACCTAAATTTACTGTGTATTAGGTTAAGGGAAGACTTGAAGAGACTCGAGGAGAATTTGAAGGGATTTGAACTATCACCGATTCGGACGGGTGCATAGGCATCAGTTGATGACATTTTTAGAAAAGTCTTGATTTTTAGAACATAGATAATGAGTTTAATCTCTTGGTCTACGTTCAAATAGAAGTTTAAAACTCTCTTGATGGTTAACTATTCTAGAAATAGTAGATTAAATACCAGTAGGTTGTTCACGTTGCATGTATTCTCTCCTCCTCCACAAAATAAAGCAAATTGTAGTAGTTCTTGTGTCTGCTCCAAAAGCATGGTCATGGTGAAGTTGGAAGAGAAGGAAATGTGTTTTAATTACAAATGCATTGCATCACTATGATGGTAATCGGAATGATGATTGTGATTGGAAGATAATTGAGATGAAGAATTTGAAATGAGATTGTGCTTTGAATACAAATGCATCATAAGTGGATTTGGTGTGGTGGTGGAGGTTTTGAAATTCAAATCCATTCAAAATCCTTGATCCAAACACCACTACATTCATAAAACACATGAATTTTTTGATCACAATTCGCATAGTTTGGATGTTATTACACTAACTAATTTCGCAATTTATACATCAGGTGTAGATTTTAGCATTTTGAAGTCTACGATCAATTGAATCAATCACCCTCACTTTTATATGGACCGTTGATCAATAAAGTATGTGATCGCATGGCCTGGAGATTTTCAATTGAATAAATCACCATCACTTTTGAGGACCGTTGATCAATAAAGTAATCATATAGATCGAAGACTGTAACCGCATAAATACAATTGTAATTCTATCTATAAAAGTTTAAGCATTTATTGACAATATTGTAACATGTAATTCCTATCTAGCAAATATCTCAGCATTCATATTCTGGATGGGACTCGTAAGACCTGTATATAATGATTAGGGTCGGTGACTCATTGGGCCTATTCAGGCTAACATTCCATTTGGACGCTGACAGGAAAATTTATAATACCTTCATGAAAAGCCAAGACCTAATTTTAGAGGTTTTTATATTTAAGACACTTCAGGTTCGGATTGCAATGGCTCCTATAATTATCAAATTTCAAATTGGCTTAATTATCTTTTCGAATTTGTGGCAGACATAACTATTTAGGATTTCACCATTTATTGGATTTTATCCTTCAAAACTACTTTTAAACATTTGAATTTTATCCACAAACTATTCTCAATATTCAAAATTTGGTTGAAAAATTAGATGGTTAATTTTTAAAGTTGATCCATTTCCATTTTACACTTTTTCTCTGTTCTAAAAAATATTTATATTAATTATTAATTTAGTGCCTGTTGTAGTTTTGAATTTCGTTGAGCTGTCAGTTGGGTTATCACCACAAAAGAAGAAAATGGCAAAATTAGTTGCTATTGAATCTGGTATCAATTCATGTTGGCAAATCTCAATTAAGAATTTCAAAAAAGTTGTATACAGGCAACCCATCTTTTTAACACCAACTGCAAATCAACTTTTGTCGTCCATGCCAATATGAAGTTGCAACGTGGAGTTTAAAGTTTCATGATGAACCATATAAAAAAAAAATGGTTAGTTATTACTTGAATATGAACAACATAGCAAGTTAATCATTTGTGTTTACAACATCCGTTCAGCTGCCAATTGTATCAGATCTTACATTTTTCATGCAAGGACACAATTGCCTGCCGTGGAATTCACGCTATAGACTGAAAATTAAGAATTATTAAATATGAATGATAGAGCAAACTTATCATCAATTTTTTTTAAAAGATTCCAAAACTCAAAATTAGTTTACATTGAACATGAAAATTAATTGTAGTAGATATTGGGCTTTCAAATATTGGGTCAAAGAAAGCCCGATGAACTGCAGGACTGACCCAAATTTTTTGACAAGTCCATTACTATGTACTGTCCATCTTGGATACACGTAATATTAGGTAATAACTAGAGATGCACGATAGCATTGGGTAAGAATTTCGAACTACAATTCTAAGGCACTGGGTTTGTTTGGATAGGAGTGTATTTGGATGATTTATTTGAGATAATTACTGTAGTACTTTTTGTAATTTAACGTGTGTGATATGAAAAGGTGATTGAAATTTGTAAAGTAAATTATTTTATCTGAAATTATGTGAATCCAAACAAACCCACTGAGTTTGGCACGACTCATGGTAGATTAATTCAAATTATGGCTTACTTAATTATAAATGGCTCAGCAAAGAAAATATGACGTCAAATCACAAAGTCTATTTGCAATTTTGAGTGGTAAATATGACGTCAAACCACATGCCATAAAACCTATTTGCAGTTTTCAATGACTGGTAAATTATATAATGCCTCGCTAATGAGCATATATCAAAGTTAAACAGTGGGATAATTTCACAAACCTCCCCTAAGGTTTATAACAATTGCAGCCACCTCCTTTTAATTTTTAAAAATTACACCTACCTCTAGGGGTGCAATCAAGTCAAGCCGCTCGCGAGTAGCTTGCGAGCGGCTTGGTCAAAAGCTTGGCTCGAGCTCGATTTGCTCGGTCAAACCGAGTTCGAGCTACTCGTTACATTCAACAAGTCGAGTTTGAGCTCCAAAAATAAATACTCAAGTGCTCAACGAGCTTAATCAAGTTTTCATATTATATTTATATTATATATTTATATTATATTCATATTATATATTATATATTTTGAAAAAAATTAATAGGTTTAGTTGAAAACTCGAGCTTGAGCTCGAGTAGATCGGGCTTGATATTTACTTGAGCTTACTCAAGCTCAAATGAGTTGAGCTCGAGTTTAATTTTATTTTATTGAGTCGAGCTCGAATCCAAATTTATTTACTCGTTCGAGCTCGAGTAGCACTGATTCTGATCGAGTTTGAGTTCGAGTATGGTGCTACTCGAGCTCGACTCGGCTCGATAGTAACTCTACCTACCTCCTCTATTTTTATATAGACCCGATATACCACATTTCTCTTCAAAAATCCTAATATGCCCTTATTGACATAACAACAAAGAGAAAAGGTTAGTTTAATCATGTACATTTTCTTTTTCTAAAACGACCGCAAGCCTACTACCATTCCAAGCCAGTCGAGCAAACTATTATTTATAGCTCAGTCTCCATTCCAAGTGACTTTAACTCAGTCTATTTGCAATTTTGACTGCCACTACATGCCATAAAGCCTATTTTTGCAATTTTCAATGACTGGTAAATTATATAATGCCTCGCTAATGAGCATATATCAAAGTTAAATAATTTATCAACTCTAAATTAGTGGTGATCATGCTTGGTTATTGTTTTTCTTTGCTTAAATTAGATTACTGCCTAAAAAAGAAGTTTAAAAAAAAAAAAGACCCTTCGTGGCATCTATGCCAAATTCCTCGACAATGAGTTGCACATTATATCATTCCATTTGTTTAAATTATTAGTTTACCACCAGGGAAAAAAGAATTAAACATAAAAGGCCCCATGGTGATATCTATGCCAAATTCCTCGACAATGAGGTGTGTATACATGAAATTTGTAAAGTATGGGGGCAACATGTATTTTATTTAGAAAAGTTTAAAAAAATAATTTTACTATTATTATAAACTAAAGGCTAAATTGCAGTACCTCTTAATCTTTATTTTTGAGTACTTTACCCCCTAATCCTTATTTTTGAGCACTTTGTCCTCTTTCGTCGGTCAAAAGTAATATTTGACCATTACAAATTACTGAACTCCTAAAAGTGCCCTTATTCTTGCTAGTTGAAACTTTTTTGAAAAATTACCCTTGTCCTAACATCAAGAAATGTACAATATTTTTTTGGACTTGGGATTATGTATGTACATATACACAGCTAATGTAATTACAAATAAAAAACGTATATATTCAGGATCTATCCTTCAATGTGTTCTTTATTCTCGTATCCATCTATTACTAAAGAGTTGTTTTTTCAGCTAGCAATTTTGCAATGTGCTACCAATCTCCTTTGACTTCAAGATTTTTGGATACAAAAACTTGAAAAAATTACATGCTTTATGAGTCTATAAAAAAGTTAATTAGATTTTTTGCAAAAGTTTTCAATAAGTAACACTAAAAAAATTACCAAATCAATTAC